ATATTAATAACCTATAAAAATCCTTGTTGTTACCACTCATACTTTAAGATAACATCTCATTTTTATTGTTTCTCCAGCTTCAGTATTTTATTAAAACAAAACATGAAAAATAAATGATGKAAGCTAGTTTTTGTGCTTGTGTCTTTGTTGATGCTGGCTTTAAAAGTAATACTGCAGCAGATTATTTAAAAAGAAGAGTAGATGTCTTCTAGCAAATTCTTTTGGAACATTTCTTTCTGCTAAATCCTTGTGCAAATAAAAACTGATGTTCCTCCCATGCTTACATAAATACTTCATCCAAGGTCCTACAAAGGAAAGGCAGGGAAGACAGAAAAGAACTATTAATATTCATTTCAGAGGGACTACAGAAATTTAAGTGTGTGTAAGGTGACAGTCATCAAAAGAGCAAATTTGAAATAGGTTCATATATTCATTTCACATCTTATACTCCAAAAAAAACTTTATTCGTATCACCTCTGCCCACTGATTCACATAGTGCACATGCAAAGACACAAGCAGTGCCAAGAGTCAGTCATTAACTAWGCTCTCACTTTTGTTTTCCAAACTTTCCAACAGTAGCGGTCTCTGTGGGCCAGCATCTGTTTGCCAGTGTTTTAGAAAAATGCTCTGGATTGGTTCTTCACTTTAACACCCCGCCTTCTTAAGTAGATGGAAACAAGATCACTAAGAATGAACAATAAACTTTGCTCCGTAGAGTTGATCTGTACACACTACGTAACAGATGTTACATTCGCTCTAACGTGTTACATTATCACACTCTGACCCCTGATCTCTGTCGACAAACCACGAGCAGGCTTCACTAAGATAGACTTTGACTTGGCTGGATCAAACGAACGAAAAGAAAAATGATGACACCCATTAAAGGTACTGAGGACTGTGCAATTTGCATGACAGRATTAAATAGGAAATATGTAATAGGTTTAGGACTAAAACATAAAATTTGGAAGCTGAACTCCCTGAAGTTTAAATAATTTTCACTATAACAAAAAGTTTTCATTCAACTAGTTTTTAATTAGTCCAACTTCAAGGGAACGCTGTGAGTTTCAGTCAATACATAATGCTGTCAGATGAAGCCTGTGTTCCCACAAGGTAAAAGTGATAGTTGCAAGTCAACATATTCCTTTGATAGAAATGCTACAAAGAGTTTAATGTCAGACGGTTTCATTTGCTTGTGCATGTCTACAAAACCACAAGCTGTGCAAAATTTATTGCTACAGTTGTTTTCCTTATTTTTATTTTTGCAAAGATGTAAAAAAATCAGGATTTCTTTTTTTAAAATCTTAAACWGAAAGTGGAATCAGAATAATGTTCTCATAATATTATTTCTTCTAGTTCTTGTCTAAAAACAACTTTGCCAAAAAATAAAAAAATTATGGGGGCTTTGCAACTAGTTAGGATGTGCTGCATATTGTGTTCAAGAAAAATACATTTTGAAAATCTACTACAGAGGCCTGCTTCATTATTAAAGTCATGTTTATCATTCTAGTTAATGTCGGAATTTTTTTTTTTTTTTTTTTTTT